TTGTTACATATAGTTATAACTTATAAGTATATTCGACACACACGATACTATTATGTGAACACTGAAATGTTCCGATAAACCATTAATCGAATGTAGGTACTTAAATACACGTCAAACAGTGCAAATATTGCATATTATATAATAATAATGCTTGTTGAATGCAGCTTGAATGGAGTGTAATGCTTGATACATTGTACACTAGTATACAAAAACCTCTCCTAACGGACACCTCCAAATAGCGGACACCTCCAAATAGCGGACACCTCTGACTAGCTGATAAAATTTCAGCGACCGAGAATGTCCGGTATTCAGAGGTTTCACTGTATTATTGTAATAAATTATAAAAAGAATTTCAACAGTTAAATTCATTTTTATTCTATAATATAAAGTACATTTTACGATTTTATGTTAATAAAAACAGTTATATAATTTATTAAAATACATAAAGAAATCCAATACCTACCCGACATCCAATAGATGTAAAAAAAATCTCGATCGAACGTATAGGTACCCGTAGGTATATACGTAGGTATATTTGGTATATATATATTATTATAATGCTGGTCAGTGGCAGTAGCGTTTTTTAGTGGGACAATATGTGATCCACTCAACCGTCGTGTTAACCCACAGTAACAAACTAAAAAATTATATTAAGTACGACCGGAGTATATCAAAAATAGATAAAGTGATGGACAGTGCGAGGCACCGAGAATGAGAGACAGTGGGACTGCCGCACAGAGACTTTCACCTTTTAAACCATTTTTGAAAGGACCTGTAAAAACAACGGTCGTCTTAAACGAGCTGATTTATCTTGTGCTTTTTATTACTGTTATTAATTAATAATTAACAGTTATAAAAGAGTTAATGGATTAAATTGTTATTTAGCACCTATACCTATTATACCTACACAGTAAAAATTATAAATTTTTTTGTTTATTTCGGCCGAGGTAGATTTGAAGTTACCAAACTTATTTTTTAACCTACATATATATTGACAGTTTTTACCACTGAGAAAAACCTCTCGCTGGAGAACACTTAACAAGTGTTTATTATTTTATTTATTTTTTTTTATTTTTTGTTATTATTAGGTAATATAATAAAAAATTAGAGAATTGTAATGGGAGATGGGACCCATTGATTTTGCCAAAACAGCCAACAGCGGTAGGTACACATTATTATTATTATTATTATTATTATTATTATTTTTATTATTATTATATACATATCTCAATTGAAACCTAATATGTTTTGGTTTTTATATTTTTAGGCAGTAAAATGAAGTGCTTCTTTAATTGATTATCGAAATGAAATACATACGATTAATCATTATGATGCTTAAACTATAATTCGTTCCCACATTTCTTTATTATGATTCCCGTGAATCCTCAAGTGTTCCCGGGAATTACCCCTAACCGAACAGCGGTAATTAAGCATAATATTTATGTAAATATACTATTTTCATTCATCGGAAATCCACAAGGATTAATTAAAACATGGATGTTGTATGTACCTATACATATACTTGATATTACATAAGTACCGACTATACATATTATAATCGAGTTAGGAAAGCTCACTCTGCGAGCGTACTAAATTCCCGGTTTTTAAAACGTATTTTTATGTAACGCAATAAACCATAATTCCGTTTTATACAATTTAAAAATTATTATTTGGGAACTTCTATATTTGTTTACCTATTTTTTATCATTGGCCACTATGGATCTATATTATTAAATACTCATGTTATGATATTTATTTAATATTGGCAAGTATGAATTTACATCTAATAGAACCGCAGTTATACAATCATAGCACAATACTAGATATTTTTACTCTGAAAGAAAAAATCTATGAATCATAAATATGTTTTTGTAACCATGACAACGAAAACATTACAAAATATCGGTCAGAAACAATGTATCTTGTATTCAGCCAAAAAACATATTTATGCTAAAACATTAATACAAACAATCGTAGCTATAACATGTATTGGTATATCTATAGGTAGGTACATAACTAATGGACGGACACAAAGGGGAAATAATAGAGTGTTTTATAACTACTTATGTTTAGAAACCTAAAACTGTATTATGGTTCGATCTTGAAATTATCGTATCACGTATTCCTTATAGTCGTGATTTAAAAACTGTCTAGTTTTTAAAATAAATGTACCTATTGGTAATATCGTGATATGTTCAAAGGGTCATATATTGAGCTGATCCATACTGCTACAGGTGTCTGTCCCTGCATATTATAATATTAGCTCAAACATTATTCTTATTAAAAAAAAAGTGATAAAATATAGTTACTTCGAGAGAATAGGCCAACAACGCCTATTGTGTCCAATTAATTATTAATTATTATGCTAACAAAATTAATTTCGTATTGATTACTATTCAATAAATACAGTATGGTAATACCACGTACTATACAACACTGAACTACACATTTTTCACAACTTTCATTTTCACTATAGATTACAAACTTTATCGTATTTCCATCTATATACCTATTATGATTCATACATAAAAGCTAATGGTATGTCTGTTTGTTAATCCTTTATGCATTCTACACTATTCATCCGAACGCCCACGAAACTTTCATGGAGGGCTTTCTAAACTATTACGAACAAAATTTGACGAAAAAAATTGTATACATCGTACATGTGTAATATATTCAATACGATTTCATGAGAAGCTTTGTAATGCAACATAAACAATAACAGCAATACTGTTAAAATTAAATCGAGTATATGATTCTTTAAATATTTAAACAAACGAGTTTCACTGGCAACGCCGTTGAAATGGTTATACTATAATAGTATAATCGAACGTGTCCTGACTGACTCACTGACTGATCAACGTAGACTGTAGAGCCTACACAATGTTAATTGGAGACTTGCAATTTTCACGGTGTCTTATCATAGCACCGTGTGCATTAAGAAATAATTTTCCAAATGTCCAATATTTGCATTTTAAAGTGGTGCTTGCACATTTATTTTGAGATTCAAGATGGTCGATGAAAATGTTTAAGTTTTGAACACCATTTCACCTAATATTAAATTACGAATTGAACAAAGTTCGGATCATATAGAGTTGTATTTTTTAACTGACAAACAAGTGCACAGGGCAGTTAGTTAAAATATGTATTATGAGTTTATAATTATTAGTATTTTTTCGCAATATGAGCGTGAAACGTTTACCAATATGATGTTAGACCCAAGGTGGTATTATGTAAACGTTTACCGGAACCTAGGCAGGAGCCGCTACGCGGGGTCGGCTTGTTTACCATTTCCTATTTCACATATGCCACGCCCCCCCCCCCTGGAGACCATGTTCAAGGCCAGAATCCCCCGAACCGACCAATTCACGGAGTGTCGTACCCCTGGTATTAGCCGACACAGGAATTGTTGGAATTATGGAATGATGACTGCCGACATTTCGAGAGAACCACGTGGAATCGTTATAATGTAGATATTATAGCCAGTATAGGTACTTCATTTTAATATTTTGGTGTCCCATTATTTCATCGTTAAATAATACAACTTAACGTAAATTATATTGATCGCGAGATAGTTTCATCTCAAATCGCAATACAAATTTACCGAAACAATAAATTATTTTATCCTAACTTATATAGTAATAGTTTTAATATCCATAGGTACAAAATGCACAATAAATGTAAACAAAAATAATAGTAAAAATTAAGCATGTATATTATGACATAAAAAAAAAAGATAATAATTATAATTATAATAAAAATGATTAAATCTATAAACCAACAATATAGTATAATATAATATATAAATAAATATAAAAATAATAAATAAATAAATAAAAATAATTATATATGATATATATATATTATATATTATATATAATATATATAATATATAAATTGTCAGTTTTCGATCTATACCATCTTGTCTTTTTTTTAGCCTCGGGAACACATTTCAAGCATAACATATTGTATTCTTCAGTACATAGGTACATTTAATCATTTCAAACGTATTTTTTATTAAGAATGCTACCCGAGAGATGTTTAAAAAATAATAGGTTGCCAACTGCCGAAAGATAGACGAATTTTATCTGGTGGATTGATTATCTTTTTACATTTATTGGCAAATCAAATGAGTGTTTCATTTATTTTCATTTTATTCGTCAATTTTTTTCTTCACTCTCTTTGGATGTACATGAATTGGTAGGTTACCTATACGTTACCTATAGCTACCTATATGCATTTCACATTATCAAATTCCTAAAGCGACCCTCCAAAAAACATTAATTGGTGATCCCCGCTGTGTTATATATAGGTACCTAGTCGTACTAGAGGTGGAAACATTTTTTGCTCATAAATTTAAACCGACAATGCGGCAACAACTAAAGGTGGGCAAGTTATTGAAAATAATTAACTGTGGCAAGTTAAGTTAATTAAATTAAATATCCTTCAGTTAAGTCAAAAGTTACCAAAAAAATCGTTTTAACAAGTTAATGCCCACCTTTGACAACAACAAATAAGCGTCTGGTCGACAAACGCAATACACACGGACACACACGCACGCACACAGTTGTACCATTATATTATATATTATATTGCTATGTACAACACTTCTTTATATTATTATTGTCAGAATTGATGTATGCAAGTACAATGATATCATAACAAACATTGAACATTGATAAGACCGTTGTCGGGTCAGCAGGGCAGTCCTAATCGCGGCGGCAGAGTCCATCACTCACCGTGTCGGAACACGCCCGCAGTTACTCGCGGGCTCAATAACTGCGCACACACGCAACGCGGCCCACCCGCAGTGTACCTATACCTAATATTAATAATATAATAGATCGGAATCGTACGCGACAACAATAATTCATAGAGCGCCGACAATCGTCTCGTTGCGTCGCCCGTCATCGTCATCGACATCATCATCGATCGATCGGTCCTCGAAATCGTTCGTTCGTAGCGGAAAACCCGTCTCCTCTGCAGTCGTCGTCGGCGACATGAAGACGACCGTCGCAGTTGCAGCCATCGCGCTGTCCCTGTTCGGACTCTTCCCGTTCGTCACAGGTGCGTATTATAATTTATAGTGACACAAGCTTATAATTTCATGGTCGTCATCATTATATGTATTGTTTTGCACTTGCGACGTCCCCCGCACCCGAAATTATTGTTAATTTATTTTATCATTTACACGCCATATATAGGTATACCTCTATACCAATAATGTTTAACCGCACGTCGTACGACTGTTTTACGACCGAGCAATATCCCGTAATAAGTAACGGGCCTCATAATATCGTATATTATAACTATATAGTTTATCATTGCGACCGGACGACGGTTAGTGGTGCAGCGGAGATTTCCATTTGCAAATTGTGTTTTCCGTCGGCGAGCGCTTGGTGTATGATAACTAACGTCGCCTTAATCTCAGGTCCGCAACACATATTATTATTATAATATATACGCCGCGTATAAATCCGACCGCCATTACGCCACTGAAGTCCATAAATACACACAATATTTACACGCTATATATCATGGTATATACCTACATAATGTTATATACGTGTGTGTGTACCACCAGTGCACCAGCGGCGACTTGTATACACATCTACGCAGCACACATTACCTAATACGTATATCTACGGATCGGAGTAATTAATGGTTGCCGTTGTAATAGGTATATACTATACTGTGTATACTTTACTCGACTTTGGGTCGTCGTCGTCGTCGTCGTCGAACGTCTCGAAACAATACCAAAAATTGGACAATGTGATGACGTATAATAGGAGTGTTTGTAGACGCGCACATAGATGGATATGCTCTGGACGGAATGATCACCATAATAAAGGTAATAATCAGGCATTAATTCGGGAGGGTGGTAGGGCTAGGGGTGAGCCACCGATAAAATGAATTGGTACATATTATGAATTAAAACGGTACCAAACGGTACTATGAAATAAAAAGGAATAATTTTTTTTTTTTGAGCACGCCGCGTTTAAGTTTTCCGCATCCTCGCCTGGTCGTGATAAGGTCGTCTCGTACATTAAGACCATATAATAGTATTATCCACAAGTTTATCGACGGTTTTAGTATATTACGTTATCGGCCCTCTTGCATCTGCAGATTGGGATTTATATACAAAGTTACTCCCAAAATCTATCCCGTCCAAATCGTCCAATATAAACATTCTATGATGTCCCACATTCATTTCCCACGTCGCGTATAACTGTTAATAAGGAACTCACCCTTATCTCTGAGACCAATAATATCAGTTATAAGGTCAATTGTTTTTCTCAACATTATTGCGTTATACTCAATGGTATAATTATTATAATTTATCTTAATTTGAACTCTTGAAATTTTCCCTAGGTATTATAGAACAGTTTTCGCACAATTCGTTCACTTTTATAAACATATTTATTCCCAAAGACTAAATTTGAGTGGGTGCATGTAACAGTTTGAGGATAACGTGGTCTGGCCGTTTTTTTGAACAGCTTTGTACAAATAAAATATATAAACCTCAAAGAGCAATATTTTTGTCGTGAGTAATATTTGCAATGCAATCTACAGAAAGATTGTGAAATAATGACATTTTCCCCGTATTCATTGTATCGACAAAATATAATATAAAAGTAGACTGTGTATTAATCGCCCGATAATAATCTACTGTATTCATCGTACATTGTTGTTGGATTTAAAAAATTACAATTTTTAGGTTATATTATGTTATAACGTTTGGCATATATAGACGCGTACCTACCGATATTTTTTTTAAGTTGAAGGAATGTCTTTATAATATACAACCGCTTTTATCTTCAATTATTCCGTTTTCGACGTTAAGTGGTGATTTAAATTTTTGAAATCACAATGCACAGGATTGATAGGTATTAGTTATATATAGGTATATTGATATATACATTGGTAATTTATGTATTATATACGAATGTTGTATATTAATTTATTCTTTTATAAAATGCTATAATCAATGTTTTAATATAATAATATAAATCATAATACATTATTACAAATTATATTATATTTTTAATAAATTTAATAGGTAATTATTGTTCGATATGTATAACAATATTATAATATTGGACCAGTATTGTGGTGAGCTATTGTACACCCGCGATTGGTACAACAGTCTCGATAGCCGAATTGTAGGTATATAGGTACACTAGAAATCGGTTAAAAAGAATTTTAAAGGCCGGCGAATTGTTCTCGTTGTAACCGGTAGCTAGTTAAATACTATGAGAGCACGTTGTAATAACATGCGAAAAGTTAGAAAAACAAAAATACAGATGATTTCATTTCACTCATAATCGAGATTAATACTGTATTTATACATATTGTTTATTAATATTAATTATAATTGAAGATTTAATACTGTATTTATGAACACATATTACTTAAATATGATTTAATATTTATTTATTTATCGTATGGCCATTACAAACATTAATAAAACCCATCTATTTTAATTATGATATATATAATACAAATATAACACTCAAAAATATTATTAAAGACCTATAGGAGTTTTATTTGACATAAAACTATCTTTCAGCACTCATGTGGATTATATTGGTAATAAATCTTTTATGAAGATTGGATTATTAAAAAGGATTTGTAGTGATATTTCAATGATAGTTAAGCTCTAAATATATTATATTATTTCCTATGGTACATTTGCATATTGACTATGCTTCTTTAACTTGGCACTCAGATAGTATTTGTCTAAAACTCTAAACCAGAGTCTATCTATACCGTCCAAAATATTTTTTTAAGATACCTACCTATTTATCTTTTAAATGTAATTTTGAAAGACGTCCTCATTCAGGGCATATTAATATTAGTACTTTTTTAATATATTTCCCTTAAAAAGTAGATTTATAATTTAATTGATTTCCCCTAGAACGTATTAACTTCAAAATAAATGTAACTAATTCTAGAAATAAATATCCTTTTTATTTATTTATTATTAAAACTAACTATTAGTCATGTCTTACTACCTTTCTAAATTCTAATATATTAATGTCGTGGTTCCTATAACATTTACACTCTATCGCTACGTTATATTTATATTAAATGGGCTGCACCATGTAGGCAAACGACTATCAATGTATTTGGAATAGGTAATGTCTTCTATTTATTACCTATCGATACACACACACACGCACGCACGCACAATACTATATGAAAATCGAATATGATCGGGGACCGTGGTATGTCAGTCCAGGATATTTTATATTAACATTTCTTTTAGTAATAACTAATAATATACCTATACAGGTCCAACCATGGTAGGTTGAATTCATTTTTGCAAAAACATTGTATTTGCATACAAATTTTCCTAAAATTAGCGGTAATTTTATGGTTAAAGTATGAATTAAACTTGTTCATGCCTTATCTATATAATTCGAACATTTTAAACTACAAATTAGTGGTTTTGTCGAAATTTTGACTTTAAATGCGATGATTATAAAAAATAATCGTGCATATATATCGTTAGCATTTTTAAATAGCTATAATAAAAACTTAGGAGGGACCTAGTACTATATTTTTAAGCTTTTTGACCGTACAACTTATATTTTATCGACATTTTTAGATAAAAAAACTAAAACTAATTGAAGACAATCCAAAGTTACAAAACAATTTTTTTAACAATATTTGTACAGTTTTAACAAATTTGAATTTATTTGTTTTTCCCAATTATTTTAAAAAGTACTTAGAATTATTAATTTTGACTACTCAAAAGTATCTACCAACTATATCTAATTTAAGGATATCTCCATCAAAGTTGATGATCAGGTGAGGGTCAGTGAAAAGGGAAATTACCTAATACTCGTAATATATTAAAATATAATTACCGTAATTATTTTACATCACCAATCTCGCATCATATCGGTACGTCCGCAGTTACTCGAGGGCTCAATAACTGCGCACACGCGCAACACGGCCCACCCGATATAAAGATCGGACGAATACAGACAATTCGTCTTGTCTTCCCTCATCATCATAGGATCGATCCACGAAATAGTTCGGCCATCGAGGAAATCCGTCTCCTGTTCAATCTTTGTTGACAACATGAAGACGGCCGTCGCAGTAGCCATCGCTCTGTCCTTGTGCGGATCTTTTCCGTTCGTCGCTCGTCCGGCAGGTATTATATCTATATACCATATACGTAATTGTGACACACACGTCTTATAATAATTGCATTATTATCATTATTATAGTTATAGTTATTAATTTACACGCGACGTCACCCACCCCCAACATCCACGTGTTTTATTTTTATATTTGTTTATTATTTACATAGGCACCTAACAAATATTTAACAGCACCCGCCCCCAAAGTATACGACCGGTTTACGGTAGTAATTAACGGGCCACATGTTTTATAGTAGGTATATTAGTTAATCATTGCGGCCGACTGAATTTTAAACACCACCAAATAATTGAAAATCGAGTAGTAGACCTCATGTAGCCCCCCCCCCCCTTTGTCCGACCGACTTAAAAATACCACCAATTAATTGTAAATTAATGCATGCGAGTGGTGCAGCAGAGATTTCCATTTTCAAATTTTATTTTCCATTGACCCTCGCGAAGGATAACTTTTTGACGTTGCCTTAGTCTCTGCAGCTCTATCGTTAAACTAGGCCTTATTAGAATGAATTTAAGTCGTAAAAACTAGCCACGGGCCACAGTGTGCCACAGTACACTGTGCGAAGTCTACGGTTATATTGTATATACAATCAATGTTAGTACTTAGGTAGTAAATCTATACATAACTATATAAGCATTAGTTATAATACTTAAGCCAAGTAAAAAACCGACAATCATAACGCCACTAAAGTCCATATAATTATTAAATGCCTACACACAAATACACAATATATTTTATTATATATACACACTATATATTATTGTCATGGTATATACCTTCATATTATACGTGTGTTATGTGTATACCACCAAAGCACCAAGGTGACTTGTATACATATCTACGCAGTACACGTTGCCTAATACCCATACGTACATTATTCACGGATTGGAGTAATATTA